ACTTCAATGCAACTACATCTGCTTACGTCGCCACACAGTTTTATGGATTAGAACTTACACGGAATGGCCCCTTCCCTAAGAAAATTACCTACTGCAACTTCAATAACCGGACCATATCTCTCAGTCTACATATAAATCCAATAATTTGTGTAGCGCTTAAACATAAGCTGACTACTTTGTACCGATAATTATATGCATTACGGGGTTGTGAAGATTGTTAAGTTACACATTTTTGAAACTATGAATCGATCAATGTTAGACCACAACCATTAGAAACCTGGAAGCACTGAAAGACGGCCGTTTCGTCCTGGTATGGGACTCCTCAGCAGTGCGCATCCACGACTCCTGCACCCCGCAGGATTCGAACTCAGGACCTTCGGTATTGTGCGCGAACGCCCTAACCGTTAGACCACTGAGTCGGTATCCAACGGTGTTAATGTCTAACTTGATCAAATTCACGGAGTTGCGCAACCTCATACACAGTCTTCGGTAGACACTGCCTACACCCGAACAGGTTGAACTTCACTGGTCACGACGTCTTCCCACTACAACTCAGAGAATATTCCTCACGAAGCTAGTCACTCACTAGTGAGCACAGGTAATTTGTATTACGGGGTTGTTGTGAAGATTGTTGTTAAGTTACACATTTTTGAAACCACGAATCGATCAATGTTAGACCACTGTAATTATATGTTTGAACGAGTAAACAAATGGTGTGTGAGAGAAAGAGTCATACATAAAAAATCTATTCTCTTCAAATTCATCGCTTGTATATATATATATATAAACATCTCATACAATCTATCTAATTTCCACTTGTATACATTTCTATCATTAAACACAATACGAATACAATGGGTGACTAGTACTACTACTGTGGTGAGCGCTACTTATAAGTAGTATATGACGCGAGTGTAAACGTAATGTCTAGCAGAGGAAGATGGGGGGAAGATCAAGAAAGGAAGAGTGGGAACACAATGGAATTTGTATGAAACGCATGAATAGTAGCGAAATGTCAGATAATGGATTGAAGATTTGCAAATTAACAACGGTTTACGATATGGTTTTCCTATTTTACTGAGTAACTCTGTAATTATCGTTAAATACAATTCGGTTGCCCTCACCTGTGTTCTCCTTCACTACACTACCACTACTACTACTACTACTTAAAATAAAACAAAAGCAATTTCTACACTTTGTCAAGAAGACATGTTACTGGTGAATTCTTTTAAAAAAGACATTGAGAGAACTTAATATTAACGCAAACATGTACAAAATAATTAAAAGTATACTATATTATTAGTAGTATAAATAATATATGTGATCATTACAAGTAGAACTAATGGAAAATTAGTGTTTTAAGGTAAAAAAAAACAAAAAACGGGAATCGGTTTACAATAAATCCGATAATGATTTTTTATTAATCATTTCTAATACTGTACGTGTGTGTGGGTGTGCGTGTTTGTGTTGGGAAACATTAGTAGATTTTAAAAACCCAGTCGGTCAGTCAGTCAGTCAGTTACAACGTAGAACTTTGTACTTATGGACGTGTGTACATCAGTTCAAGTTGCCATAGTATCACTCTAGCACACAGAGATCGAATCTCATAGTAGTAGAGCTTGGTAGTAGAAGTATGAGTAGTAATTGGAGAAATTCAGTTAGTCAGTCAGTCAATTACAATGTAGAACTTCTTACGTACGAGTGTACATCAGTTCAAGTTGACATGTCACCACCACATTAGCACACAGAGAGATTGAATTGTCAATTCGGATTCGATAGTAGTAGAGGTAGTAGAAGTATTGACAGTAATGGAGAAGATTAAGGACCGAAGAGATATGATTCTAGAAGTTTATTTCAGAAGAATCGATTATTTTTTTGAAAACGGAGAAAAAACGGTCATGTTAAACTTAGAGGATTAGAATTTGAGAGAAAACAAAGATGCGATGTACCTGCGTTATGGCAGACGATTTTGGGCCATGTTATTCATCATCTCTAAACAACGGTTATTATCATCTCGCTGACCCCAACCAGATAGTAAGTAGTCTACAACTATCACAACATGGTCCAGTCCACCTGTCAGTAATTTCATGAACCAAAGTAACTAATAACTAGTTTATCTACCAAGTGAATACAGATTTATACAATCAGTATCAAGTCATAATTTTTTTTTTAAAATGTCGATGAATGATTTGAACCTGAAATCTATTAATTAAAAGTCTTGCTTTCTCATCACCGATTGAACTATAATCAGTGGGTGAGGATAAATCAATCAGTCAGTCAGCTACAACGTAGAACTCCGTACATACGTAAGTACGTACATCAGTTCAAGTTACCATACTCAGTCAGGCAGATGCAACGTAGAACTTCGTACGTAAGTACATCAGTTCATGTTGCCATACCTTATCAGCACACAGATATAATTGTCAATTCAAATTTAATAGTAGAAGAGGTAGTAAAGGTATTTGAAGTAATCGGAGAGGTTAGGATTAGGAAATATTATTCAAGAAGTATGATTCAGTGAGAAAAGTTTAGAAAGTCAAAACTAGGGGTGTTGAAGAATCCAGAAGATTAGGATTTGAGGGAACACAAAGAATGAATACACCGGCGCCATTGCGAATGACATGGCTCAAAATCGTTCGCAATGGCACCGGTGAATTCATTCTTTGTGTTCTCTCAAATCGTAATCTTCTAGATTCTTCAACACCTCTAGTTTTGACTTTCTAAACTTTTCTCACTGAATCATACTTCTTGAATAATATTTTCTAATCCTAACCTCTCCGATTACCATATTACGACATTAGCACAGACAGAGATGCAATTGTCAATTCAAATAACATAGTGGTAGAGATAGTAGAAGTATGAGTAGTAAACGGAAAGATTAAGGTTCGAAGATATGATTCAAGAAGTATAAAATCAGTAAAATAAATTTGAGAACAGTAAGATAAAGGTGTGGAGAATAAAAGACATAACAATTTGTAACTAGATGGTTTAAAGATGAGTAGTAGTCAACTCATTAGATTATCATTTTGTAAAAAAAAAACTTTTGTCTGAATAAAGAGTAATTAATCGATATGTACCAGTATAAGCACTTTTTTGTGTGGTATTAAACACTAGAACCATTAAAAAAAAATATGAAACTAAAGAAAAAAGTACGTCTTGAAAATTTTACATAAATGTTTGATGAATGCGGTTTAATTGTTCATTTATGTTCTTTACATATTCATTATGATTTTAATTTAATCTCTTAGATTTGGCTTCCACCAAATTGTTGAGTTTCGGCTTCATACACACCCAAATTTACATAGATCCAACTTTTGAGTAACAAGTAGGATTAGAAATAAACACACATAGATATCATTCCTAGCTTTTACTGAAGACTTTAAGTCGTCATTCCCACTATTGAGACTTATGTCAGTTAGAACGTCGTACATTAGCACAGAATGTGATCGATTTGCTCATGTGTACTTTTACGAGTATGTGGGTGGTTGTCATTTCCCGGCTGCTCATACCGTGGAAGTATGTTCATATTAGGAAATTTAACCGTTTTCAGAGTTAAAACCAACGATGACAAAGCGTCAATAAGCTTAATATAATAAAATGTTTGACTTCTAGAACTAACCAACTTAGTCTTGGAGGACAAACTCGAAAATCGATATGATTAAAAAGTAACCGATGTATGAAGTTTAACAGTTAGCCATAAAAATGTTTATATAATACACGTTTAATTTTGCTGAAGTTTTTTTACTTTAAGCACTCGCCTTTTAATCACCGGATCTCGTACATTAAGACAGCGAGACTAAATTATCAAGACAATTTCCAGAGTAGTAGTAACAGAAAAAACTATGCATAGACGATGAATTAGAGAGAAAAAGACTGTTAGAATAATAACTCAGTATTTTAAGACAGATGGAGAATTTATCGATGAAACAACAACAGATTTCGAGCCATGTTATACAATGTATCTAATCCCTGGTAGATTGAAGCTGAACTTCAATGATTTTAGAAGATGGAAAATACCTTTTATAGAATATGCAAATAAGTTTGTTGGGAGAATATATATGCTTGATCATTGAGTAATGAAACGCATTTAAACGATCATATTGTTTAAAAGGACGAGATATCCGTTTGCTGACCAAAGGACGAGTGTACTGCGCAGTAGTTCGCTCCGTTCTCCTATATGGCTGTGAAACATGGCCAGTGAGAGTAGAAGATATTCGCAGGTTACTGGTTTTCGATCATAGGTGTTTTCGAAGCATTGCTCGTATATCGTGGGACACCCGAGTGAGCAACGGTGTTATTAGGAATCGGGTGCTAGGTAAGAATGGCAGATCAATAGATGAAGTAATGCAACTTCATCAGTTGAGGTGGTTGGGACATGTGTTGCGTATGCCTAACCACCGACTGCCTCGACGAGCTTTGTTTTGTAGTGTAGGAGTAGGTTGGAAGAAAGTTAGGGGCGGCCAAACCAAAACATGGCACAAATCCATCAAGTGATTGACGAGTGGACTTAGCCATGTCGGTAGGTGTCGACTACCTGGTTGGGGTCCGCGAGATGATAATAATCGATGGTTAGAGACCTTGAATGACATGGTTCAAAATCGTTTGCAATGGCGCCGGTGCATTTAATCTTTATGTTCTCTCAAATCCTAATCTTCTAGATTCTTCAACACCTCTAGTTTTAACTTTCTAAACTTTTCTCATTGAATCATACTTGTTGAATAATATCTTCTAATCCTAACACCTCTCCGATTACTTATAATACCTTTACTACCTCTACTACTACTATTTGATTTGAATTGACAATTACATCTCTGTGTGCTGATAAGGTATGGCAACATGAACTGATGTACGTACTTACGTACATACAAAGTTCTACGTTGCAACTGACTGACTGAATCATATTGTTTAACAATGAATAAATACCTTCCCAATTTTTTCGACAGATATTTTAGTTATCATATGGAAATTTAATATTCAATTAAAAAAAAAATGCAACTCACCATCTTGTGGAGATGTTTTAAGCAAACGACATAATCCTACAACTCCACCATATTTTTCATTAAGATATTTGACAGCTTCCAATTTTCGACAGTCCATAATTTTTTGTAATTCTTTAGGTGTAATTTCAAACGAGTCTGCACCTGCACCACCACTAGTGGTGAGTGCAGTTCGTTCACTTGCATTTGCTTCACGCATAGTTTTTTTTTGTTTGATTTATAAGAATGAAATGTTTGTATGATAATGAATTAGTTTAGTCTTTTAGTAAGGTGATTAAAATGGAATATTGTGAAATCCGAACGTTTGTTATCCTATTAAGTACAAATAAAAAGAAAAACTACATGAGGAAAATATTTAATATGGAAAATAAAAGCGATAAAAATTACTATTCAAGTAATATATAATGCTGTTTGTAGTAGATAACTTAAGACTATTTTAAGATTGACACGAATGATGAACTCGGATGTGGATTTGACAATAAATCAACAGCTTAGTTGTGTAAAAATAAACAACGCATTGTACAGAGAGATGAGTTTTGTTAATCTTAAGAATCGGTTGAAATGAAATTCCCCTAGCAATTGAAGTTCAATGTAATAAGTCAGGCATAAGTATACTTGGTGTCAACTAATAACGCCTATTTCGATCTCTTAAGTAGTTAATAATTGATTCAAAGATCTTCTAAACAACGAAACGTTTAATGTGATACCAAAGCTTTTGTCACAAATTGTTCCATGACAAGAAATATTCGACAATGAGAAATTAAGCACCCATGGATTAAAATGAAAAGAGGGCTATGGTCATAAAAATAACAAAGTTGTCCATTATTCCTCATAGTAAAAATGAAAGTCTGGAATCAAATGTGTGGTGTTACACATCAAAGTGAATACGGTTAAGTAACCATCTATTTCTAATGAATGAAATTTTGCCTGGGAATGATTGGTTTTCATTTGATCCACCGCATAATGAATATGGAAACGCATGAACAACAGATTCTTGTTAGATAACCACTACTTTTAAGTTTGTCATTGCAGGACGTGTAATGCGGAACATATTTATAACTTTTCAAGCTGTACAGAAACGTTAGTACTTGTCGAAGCATAAACAGCATCGAATTTCCATTTCATTAAGGTTCATTCACAGCACGGATAATGAACAAACGAAGTTTTTCTAATAAATACTGATGTAATAAAGAGATTATGAAAACATCTTAAGCGAGAAACAACACATACGGAATAATATTAAGGATATGAGAAGTGAATTTCCATCTACAACATACTAGGAATATAAACTTAGTGGTCAATGCCAAAAATACACTATAAAATACATTTGGACATTTAATTTAAAAACGCACTGGTCATTTATATGCATGTTAAGAATCATAAAAGAAGCTGCAAAAACTCGTAACAAGAGGGACATAACACACCACCAACTTACATTGAACAAAAAACAGATTTGTTTTGAGCGCAAAGTAAACAACGAGTATACTTGAAACATAGAAACAAATGAGAAGATGTTCAACCAATAATTAATGTCAAAACACAGCACTTCAATGAAGAAGGCAATGAATCCGGATTATTTCTAAGTTTGACTACTAAGCTCATTGCTTGTGCCGGCAACGGAATGTAGGTAATCTATAGTAGATAAGCCAAACATGCTATTTTACTTTGTAGATTTTAAAATGTCTGAATATTCTTATTCTTTGAGTCCTTAGACTAGTAACAGTTGACTTTAAATATTTAGGTCACTTCAGAATATCTATTACCTGAATACAGACAGACTCTTACAGCAACTACGACATAAATGTGAGAAAAATATCGTAGTCGCAGAGTATAACACACCAATTGTTGTATCCGTCAACTAGTGTTGGCGTTTTTCAAAATCGCACTATGTTTTTACCTCGTGAACGGTGTGATGCTCATATGATTGAGAGCGATTCTAATGCTTCCGAATATCTATTATTTCTGGACTCAACGTTTCTGTTCCCATAGATTGTTCATACACAATTAGAACTAAACACACTGGCACAACTTTAACTCTGCAGACGGAAATGGAAGAAATTAATTAACTAAAAATTTGGTAATGTTGATACATAAGAAGCACGAAAACGAGATGGCCAAGATTGTTGTTCAGTGTAGCTTTTAATTACTTTACTAAGGATCTGTTACATTTGTTTGGAACTATCCATCTGTACTTGAAGACGTGGTGCTAAAGGAGCGAATGGATGTTGCAGTCTTAAATGAGTAAAGCGGGAAGATGCATTGAGAAACGATAAATTCTCAGACGCTTTATCTCCTGTTGTATCACCGTGTTTTCATTTTCTAACAACATCTGCTGCCGGTTAATTAATCCCTTCCTGCACGTGTTCGCTCATTTTTGGTGGATGGTCACTATTTTCATCAATTATCTTTTAGATTGTATTCTCCTTCATGTTTCTGACAAATGCTTTCACCATAATTTGTTGTATGTTACTAAAAAACAGTGAGATTATTACTAATCGCTTTCTTTCTGTTAATTGTTAACGACTGGAAATTGACAATCTAACACTTGACGACGAATGCTGTCAATTGTTTTAGCAATTTCAGGATAGCTAAGCAAGAATTGGAGACGATCTTCACATCTAAGGTGGTATTACGTCCACCCATTTCTCATCTTGTTCTTTAGAAATTTATATGGCAACTTATCGCCATGCTTTGATTACACCCATTGAAGACGACCAGGTTTATTTTGCTATAAGTGTTTAACAGCAGTAAAACATACCAGTCACAACACCATATCATCCGCACGGGGAAATTAATGTTAGTTTACTGAAAACAATATAAGCCGCTAAAACACAGTCGAAAATTCAAGTCTTTAGACCACGTCATTTTATAGCATTCAAGGCACAAGTAAATAACACTATGTTTGCATGTCTAGGCAGCAAGTTATTTGCAATGAATAATAATAATTATATATTTATTCTCAAATAACTACGTTACAAGAGTCACGCCAGTTGACATGCTAGATCAAATTGTCACAAATGCTTTCACAATTACTGTAGAAGTTATAGCAGTTAAATTGAGTATAAGAGACAGTTTCTGATAGCATATTTACACCCTGTCACTGACAGAAACAGTATAATACAGCCACATTTTAATAGTAGAGTGCAATTAAGGAAGGTGTACAATAGGTTCTTCCGGCGATTTGCCGAGATCAATAGTGAATTTGTTGGGAAAGGTCAAATGGAACGCGCTTGATACGAGCTGTGACCCAGACAGTCATGTATCTAGGGTGCATGTTCCCCGGAGTCACCAAGGATTTCCCACCGTGAATGGGGCTCATGCAACAAATCACAAGAGTAAAACCGTAACTCAAATTAAAAGTGGGTGTAGAATCCTTTTTGAATGTTTTGTTTTTTGGAAAATCCCTCCATGTTTACATATTTTTGCTATGATATGGCGGACTTTTTCTGTTAACATTTTTGGTATTTTATTTGATTCCAATTTGAGATTTTATCATTGTATATTGTTATTATTTCTATATTTTGTACTTATATTGAAGCTTTTGTGTTTGCTTCTGATCTGTATATATGTTGTTTAAATTTGATCTTTAATATGGCTACAGCCATATTTGGATTGATACAATAGCCGCTGGACTTAACGTCACTTATCTATCGTTGTTTCTGATACTCTTCGGAGTAATTGTATCCTGGAAGGTGTATTAATTCCAGGTACTGCTTTGTATTTCCATGTTTTTATTAATAAACACACTTTCTCCTAGAATTTTTGCTTTATCGGGACCTAGGACTGGGAGAAACGAGTTCAGGAGTGCACCTATTGGAACCCATTGGAACAGCCACCGTAGAAATCCATTTACAGTGGGGACTTAGTAACCTTTTTTATTTTAGAGTTTCGAGTGAGATGAGATTAGACTTTTATCACTGACTGCATTTCAGCCGGAAGACTCTTAATCTCATTACATGCGCGACAATATGGTTAACTCACTAAGTTTACAGAACTGTTATGACGTAACACTACCGAGTCCCCTGAAACATGACCTTGTTCTTCGTAATCATCAATCTGATCGATAACAATCTTGCTTAGCGATTGAAAATTTATTGACCAAAAGTTGCATACCTCAATTCATTGATATGAGTAAGTAATGGTTTAACTCAACAGAGAGAATAGGGAGCCGGCTTTCGCTACATGATTCACAATTTCAGATTGAACATTGGAGTGGTAAATGTTTATCGACGTTTGATTCCTATCGCTACTATCGGCAACTGTGAACTCTAATTTATATTTTAGCAAGCTCGCCAGTTGCTAATGTGTATGACTGCTCATTAGACTGTAAATAAAATAACCAGAAGTGACTTGGATTTTATTTAATAAAGGGTTTACGGATTTTAATTCCCTGGCAGTTCTCTTATAATGTTTCTAGAGTTTTTTCCGACTTCGTTGAGTTCATTGAATAAATGCATTCCGTTGCTTGCATTCATAAGTCATTGATAAGGATTAAAAACGTACAGTGATTCCACATATTGAGGGAAACAGTGATCTCGGAACAAATAGGCTAGTGGCCGTTACGGAACATCGAATTATTGTGACCAATATCGGGTAGGGTCATCTTAAGATTCTCTTAAATAATTTTCAGTTTCGTTAATCTCTCACAATGTCTGTGAATTCACTGTTTATCATTTCCAGCATGTCGAACAGTGTACGACACGTATTCCATTCCCTTTACCAAATTCAGACATTCCAGAAGTCGTGTTGAAAAAACTTTGTTGTTATAGAGTGGAGTTATCTTCTCCACCTGCCTCAATGTGTAGCAAAGATATCAAGATTAACTCCGTGTTCATTTATTTACCTTTTTATAATTACGTCTGTTTCCTTCAATGGAGCATAGGCCGCTGACCAGTTTCCTCCATCCAACTCAGTCCTGGGCTACCCTTACCAGTTCTTTCCATTTTTCGTTCATTTAGTTAATGCCTTTCTCTATTTCTCGGAGTTATATATTCTTAGGCATTCCTCCTTTCCTTTCACCTTGAGGATTCAAAATGAGGGCTTGTCTTGTTTCTTAGTCGGGTGCTTTACGTAGTGGGTGTCCTATCCACTAACTCTACCGCTTCTTCCTGATTTCCTTCTCCACTGGAATCTTGTTTATTCTCGACCACAGTACGTTGTTGCTGGTAGTGTCTGACCAGCGAATCCGAAGTATTTTGC